AGTAGCAGTCGCAGTAGCAGTAGCAGTAGCAGTAGCAGCAGCCGTAGCCGTAGCCGTCGCCGTAGTAGTAGTAGAAGCAGTAAGAGTAGTAGTAGTAGTAGTAGTAGCAGCAGTAGTAATAGTAGTAGCAGCAGTAGCAGTAACATTAGCAGTAGCAGTAGCAGTAGCAGTAGCAGTAGCAGTAGCAGCAGCAGCAGCAGCAGAGGTAGTAGTAGTAGTAGTAGTAGTACCGGCAGCAGCAGTAACAATAGCAGTAGTAGTAGTAGTAGTAGTAGTAGTAGTACTAATCTGAATAATGATACAAATACAATGAATTCAAGCCTTCGTGCTTTCAGTACCAGTAGTCGTAGCACCGGTAGAGGTCGCAGCTCTAGCAGCTCTAGTGGCAGCAGCAGCAGCAGCAGCAGCAGCAGCGCAGCCCACGCCTGAAAGCATGCATGAAACAAAGCAATTGCAGCTAACTGTCTAACAAATGTGCCCCCAAGGTCTTAAAAGCAAAATTCAAACAGCTCACTGCTTTCGGTACGTGGACGAACTGCGAAGAGCGCGCATGTCCATGGCGGACCAGCCTCTGAAATGCATAACTGAACGAAAAGCACGAGGAGGCGCCATCGACCTGCATACTGCTGTGCACAAGCCAAGGTCATTGCAGGATAAAAAGGATCGATAGGGACTAATGACAACAAAGAGTGACTTGTAGCTATGTGCTATGTACTGGCTTTGCCAGAACGCGTCCCCATGATCTTGGCAGCTTCTGCTTGATCTTATTAAGTACCACTATTTTGGCTTGCATTGGGCACAAAGAAGGGCTGCAGGCAGTTCGGGCTAGGCATTCCATTAGTTTTATGGGCCGGTTGTGATTCGCAGCTGGCCTGGATGTTTAAATCTATCCATAGACATGCACATGAAAGGTATCCCAACTAAAAAACTACGGTTTACACGTGTTGGATATGTATGGGATAACGGGATAACCCAGATGCTGAAAACCATGTTCACGGCATATTCATACAAGATTTGCCCCCCGGCATATGGAAAAACAGGAAAAACACAAATTCAGCGGCCCGTCCAAATTATCAAGAAATGTTGAGGAAATATTTGTCAACATGTGAAATCCAAGCCGCCGAATGTTGGGATCCTGAATGGAAATATGAAGAATGAATATCTTCAATATCTTTAGCATTTGAATTCTCTCTTTTTGGATTCCAAAACATTGTACAACATTCAAGCAGCAATGCTTAAATTCTTGGAATCCAAGATTCCAAACTCTTTCTTGCAATCTTGGAATCCTGCATTCAAACTATGACGAAATATTCTTTCATATGTGTTCAAAATTAGAAGCTGGAATCCAAGATTCCCAGAGAGTTTCCCCGAATCTTGGAATCTCAGCATTTTGGAAGCTAGAATCCAAGATTTCAAGTTCTGCGGAATCTTGGGTTCTGGCTGCCAAGGTTCCAAGAAAAAGATTACCTCACATTCACAGGCTCCAAGAAATAACAGCCCCAGCTCTGATGATCTTGGAGTATTCGATTTCAAAAATCGAAACTTTGAGAGTTTGGTTGTCCAATGTCCGCAGTATCGGAGCCTATCAGACTTCTTTCATGCCAAGGAAGGACAAGTAGGGATCCTCGTCAAGGGCTATAGGCTGTAGGGTTTTACTTTGGATCCTCAATAGGAATACTTACTTCTTGGGGACTTTGAGTAGAGATAAGGCTTAGTCGTACTTTTCATGTGGTTCTCACCGTTGAGACTTTTCAGTCCGGGCTTTAGGTTTTCGTTAGACATCCATACTTGGAAGTACCTCATGAGGACTTTGATTAGGGATAATGCTCATACGGAATTGGGGCCTCTTGAGCGTAGGCTTCATGTGGTTCTTGTTCACACACTTGGGGTCCCTGTTGGGGATCGTCAGTTCTCGTTAGAGATCCGTATTTGGAATTCGCACTACACATATTTCAGTGGCAGTCAGGGCCTTGCTACCCGTCCTCACTCTTAGCTGCTTCTAGTAGAGATCCCTTTTTAGGAATTCGTATTGCGGATACTTGACTGGCAATACAAGGCCTACGGGGAGTGGTAAGAAAGAGCCTATGTGAGGTCCTTGCTAGGGCTCCTCATTGCGAGTTGCTTTTGACCATCTCAGTAGCAATTCGTAGAGCGGATTTTTGACGAGCAATACAAGCTATGTGATTCTATTGATTCCGCTTCTATTGTGTTTATTCTGGGGATCCTTCGCAGGACGGGGTTGGCTTATGTGAGGTAGGGTGTTCTCCATATTCAGAATGTGATCCTGGATGGTGGTTTTATCATGACTGGGAACTCTTATGAGATTCTCTTTTGTTTAAGATCATCCATTAATTATCCCATGAATCTTAGGAGGGATAATACAAGGTCTTTGTGATTGTACTCTCAGCTGTTCACAAGGATTCATTAGTTATCCTTGTTAAAATGACGCAGGGATAATGCAAGGTGATAATGCAAGCCCTCTGATCGTAATAAAGCTACACAATAGCGAGCGAGGCAACAACGACCTACTGCGTGATAAATGAATGAGTGAGTGAATGACTGAGTGAAGGAATGAAGGCGTAAAGGAATGAAGGAATGAATGACGGCGGCGACACCAACAAAAACACAGCAGCCATAGTAAGGGACCCAAGCCAACACAGTTAAAACGGGGGGGGTGGGGGTGTATAGTCTAAGCCGCGAGGAGACGCGGACCCCGATGATGCTGCCACGCTGGCCACTTCGCCAGCATCCGTCAGCGAGCACATTTCTCACTCCCAGGCCCTAGCCGCGCCACCCAAGGCTTCACAGGATGTATGAGCTTTCCACGACCCACGAGGGCCTGATGACGGCAAAATATGCTTTTGATATGGACAGGGATCGGGGAAGAGAGGAGGTCTCAGAAGAATCAATTGCTCGAAATTTGTCGCCACTGCAACACTGGGCTGGCCCCCTTCAGTGATGGCTCAAGTGGCTAGAACATTTTTCCGAACTTGAGATCAGGATGACGAACCCTGCAGTATTGTAGCTACAGTCAGTCTGAACGTCCGACGTCCGTTGCAGGAATGCAGGATGCAAGGCCAGAACGGTTATTTTAAGTGTGTCCTGACAGGGCAGCCATGCACCAAGCAGCGAGAAGACCTACTGCAAAGCATGGACAATGATGTAGTGCAGCTCACCCTGCCTCCGCTTGCGATCATCTGCTGCGGACCGCGTGACGGTTGCCGAGTTAGTATGACTTGTCGGAGGCCTCTGATACAGCTCCGGCCCAGGTTTCACCCCTCTTGCCAGCACTGTCCTGTTGATGAGCAGGTCAAATGCCGCTTTTCATGCTGGTCGCCATTGTAGCCGCAAGTTCGTGAAGCCTCTTGGGCATGATTCCATTCCATGTTCTACGTGCTTGAAGCAGCTTCGAGGCGTCAAGCAACGGCACGATGTCCTTCACTAAAACTCCAGCATTCTCGACATCTCTAGTTGCAGAAACCAATCGCGCACCAAAGGTACAGTCTATCCACGTGAAAGATGGTGCCAAAGGGTCTTGATGGTCGTGCCAAAATTACTTCCAATCTACTCTGTCAGACAACAAGAGCCTGTACCAAACTCTTGTTCACAAACACAACACGGTAATTTGCATTTCCTTTGGCTATAGAAAAACTCAAGTAGTCCAGCCGGCGGGTTCCTCTTGCGGGGAAGGGGTGGCTGGAACTTACCACAACCATGGCCATGGGAATATTTGTTCAAGAGGGTTCTTGCGGGGTAAACAACAAATTTGACAAAAAACAAATGCGCTCCGTCTGATGCGACTGTTTGCCAGACAAGATGCACCACCTCGTGTTCCAAAGCTTGGACAGTAGCTGGAATTGTTTGCTTAGTCTGTGGTCCGTGGTTCAACCTGCGCAAAAGCTTTCCGCGTTATTGCTAAGTTGCGCAGCGCAAGAGCTCGTTTGATAAATTCCTCTGCGAGCCGCTCCCACAGGTTGTGCGCTACACTGTCTTGGACAGTAAGCTGAGAACTTCATCTCTGCAAAATGATTGATGCAGCTTTGAAGCAGCACATGGAGCTTTAGGCTCCAAGATCGCTGCTTGTGTGCTCGCTGCGCCAAGATACTTCGCAGCAAGCCTTTAAAAAGTCAGATGCCGGAACGAGACATTAGATCCTGAGGCGAGCGCCGAAATTGTCCTACGTCTGCTAGTGCTTGCCGCACTCGCTCTTTTGCACCACGCAAGGACGTCTCCGCGTTCAAGCAGTCCTGCGAGCTGCTGCAGACTGCCAATTCTAGTCCTAGTTGAGTTCATGCATCAAGTGGAATATATATATATATAGCTTAGCCCCCGGAATGCTTAAGACTGAAGGCTCGGAGGGTGCAAAGCGCTGAGGCTTGGAAATCCTAAAGTCATGCAAGCCGAGTGGTTTAATTCACATACAAAACCGGAGTAGTTGCCTGCAAGTTTGCTGGACGCCCGATTAAAGAAGGATTCAGCTGAACGAGTCTCATCAGCAACTGGAGTGGTCAGGAGTGGTCGGGAGTGGTCGGGCTGGCCTATAAGCATTCCAAAGCCGTAGCGGTCAGCCACAAATGTCAGCCTACTGGGGCTGACCACCAAAGCTTATCCAACCACTTCACGACCAATCCCGACCATTTGCAAACATCTTTGGCTGACCGCTGAGGCTCTGGAGTGCTTACGGACCACTCCCGACCATTTGCAAACATCTTTGGTTGACCGCTGAGGCTCTGGAGTGCTTACGGACCACTCCCGACCATTTGCAAACATCTTTGG